GAAGTTTGAATATCAAATATAATGAAAATAATTCTTTTCGATTATCAATACGAGTTTGTTTGTTCATTGTTTGTTGTGTTTATCAAGATGAAATTATATTAAATATGTATATATTATTACCTCTAATCAAAAATTTACATCAAAATGTTTTATCTTGTTGATAAAAAAAATAGAGGAAATTAAACATAGCATCATTATTATATATATAGTTATGAAAATGTATATATTGGGTTATTATTTTTAAAGATGACTTTAATATTGAAGAATGGAATTATGTTTATTGAATATTTTAATTTCAATGATAAAATGTATTGAAATTTATTATTATAATTTTTAAGTTAAATTTGTATTTGACTTATATATTTTAAGTCAATTGTTTTGTTTTTTGTATTATTTATTAAAAACAAATTTTTTTATTTAATATTCTTATTATTATTATACTTATATGCAATATATTATATTATAAACAATTAAAATGAAATTTATTAAATTAAATAATTCAAACACAATAGAGTATTTAAAAAATCTAGTTTAACAAATAAAATAAACTAAACTTTTATTGACTAAAACTACTTTATTTTGGACAATAAAACGTATACCTACTTTATTAAGATCGAGTCTACCTCATATTTGGTTTGTTCTTAAGAAATGCTCAAATAATATAGAACAACAAAAATAACAATTACACACATTAGGGAAATTAGACTGTATTTATAATTGAATTTGAAATGTTATGGTTATTTTATTCGACAAATCTTAATAAAGCTTTATTGTTTGTGATCACGTAAAATGTTGGTGATGATCATGATCGTGTGATAGTTTTTATTACATTTGTTTTTTCATAGCTTTCTTATTCTTTAAATAGCGTGTTTGGTTTTTCGTTTTGCTTCTAATTATTGAATTTTTGATATTAATTTAATTATAAAAAAGCAATTAATTAGTTCAGGTTATAGTTCAAATATTATTTTTATTGGACTATAAGTTTTACCATTTACCCCAAACTTGTCTTTTAAGTCAAACTTGTCGTAGTGTATGTCTTTATTAAACCGTCGCTATACAATATTCCTTTTTGATTTAAAAAATGAATAATATCATACAAATTTGAGTGTTTTTATTCATTTAATAAATCAAAAAGGAATAAATTTTGATTTCCATGTAATTTAGAAATACAAACTTTATAATGCTATCATTAAACATATATTTTCAAATTATGTGTTTGATTTGTTTTTATTATATTTTTACTTGATTATTATCGTTAACACAATTTATATGTTTTAATAAAAAACATTTAATAAAATTGGATGAAAAACAGTTTCACAACATTGTCTTGTTATAATTAGTAACAATTGATATGTGGTTTTCTGAAGAAAAAAGTTTTTTATATGATATAATTTAAACACTTCAAAACGATTTGAGTCACAAATCGTAGTAATAATTATTATAATTAAAAGATGGTTAATTACCACAAAACCAAATTAATTAGTTTTGATCAAGGATTATCACCCTATTGTGGTTTTAAGTGTTGTTATTTCTAAAAATTATGAGATTTAAAGGTTTTAAACATAATAATCCATTTTAAATAAAGTTTATATTATCATTTGTATTACCGTTTTTTAATTTTAATTATCACCAAGATAATGCTATGTTCAATTGATTGAAATATTTAATAAAGTATTCCAATCAATTAAGGCTATATTAAATTTCGGCCTACCTCAAATTAAAATTATTAAAACAGTTTTTAATTATTCCTATTTGATTTAAAAAATGAATAAAATCATTCAAAATTTAAGTGTTTTTATTCATTTTTGATATCTAAAAGGAATATTTAAGGTATTCAAAAAATTTGTAAAAAGTTATGTAAAGTCAGTCGATAAACGTTGTCTTTTTGACAAAAAATAATTGATTTTTGTTTAAAAAACGGGAATAATGTAAAAATGAAAAAACTAGGAAAAATATTGAAACAACGATTTTTTGGTTTTTCAAAAAAATTCCCGAAATATTTAAAATGGTCTAAAAATCGGCAGACAACGTTACAGACCAGACAACGTTTATCAAATGGCTCTATATAATTTTCAGTCTTTTTTAAAACAGTTTAAAATTATTTCAAATTAAAGTTTTAAAGCTCTTGATTTCGTATATTTTCGAATTAATCATATTGGCAAGGTCATTGTTATGTTTTTCCCTTTAAAGAATACATAATTTATTAATTATTTTATCA